CATTTTTGTAATTTTGGTGAAATCATAAGTTAAATGGATAAAATTGTTTTACAAAATAATAGAATTCTAGCTAAACATAAAAGGCCATTGTTTTGTGGTTTTAAATATACGAACCCTGTGCTTAGATTAGATGCGTGATAAGAAATATTGAATTCTCTCACATTACTATAGCTGTTATTCTATTGTTACATTTCATCACATAAAGATATTATTTCTTTTTAGAATTTTTTATTTGTTCTTTGTCTCTCCTACATGGTTAAACATACTTGCATATTAGCTTTAAAAAACCTATGTGAAATAATTAATTAAAGCTTTTAGCTTAAAATGAATACCAGTCTTTTAGTCGACCACTTGAAACCTTTGTCAAAAGCCAAACCGTTTAGCTATTTCATAGTAAAAACCAAAAAGAAAAAAGGCGACCTGTGAGAAAAAGAAAAAAAATGAAAATTTTACGCCAATTATAAAGGAAAATGCCATTTGAACAGATCGGTTTGCACCGATCTTGAACAGTTCCTCTCACGTGAGGACNAATTATCGATGTTGAACGTCGAATTTTTGTCATGGATGTGATAATAAAAATATAAAATAATATTACGATGATACTAAAAATAACATAATTTATAAATTACACTTGCTCCTTTCGAGTATTCATATTTTGATATCGTTGTACAATAATTTCATTATCGAACTGACAAGTAATTGAAGGAGAAATCCATGATTGGACCCGACAAGTAATTGAAGGAGAAATCCATGACTCTCAGACTGACCATAGAAGATAATGCTGAAGGTATTCTACCTGCAATCTTGTTACGCAACAGGTTAAGTTTCTCCAAAGAGGTAAGCTTTCCCAAATTTGGAGGAATTGTTCCTGAAAGTGAATTATTACTAAGGTCCAACAAGTATCATAACCCATTTAAGTTGCCAAGTTCTGACGGGATATTCCCTAATAAAATGTTGTGCTAAAGTTCAAGAACAGCAAGCTCTCACAATTGCCAATATCTTCTGGGATGTCTCCTTCTATTTTGTTTGCTGACAAATCAAGATATTGGAGCTCTGTTCAGCGTCCAATAGATTGAGGATTCTCTCCAGTCAACTGATTGTTGTTCAGATTGAGATTGAGCAGTTCAGTTAAATTTCTCAATCCAACGGGAATTTCACCTATCAATTCATTCGAATCCAGAGTTAGGACTCGTAACTCTGTCAAATTGCCTAGCTCAGCTGGAATCACTCTAGAAATTTTATTTCGATCCATCTGAAGATTTGTAAGCCTTTCATATTGTCCCCACCTAATTGAAAGTTGGCCTGTAAATTGATTTCTGCTGCGAGAGAGGAACTCGAAATTCTGATGAACTCCAAATGCCTCATAAATATTCCCAGAAAATCGGTTGCCTTCAAGCCGTACTCTATTGATGCTCGAGCAATTCTTCAGGCAACCTGGTAACCTTCTAGTAAAACTGTTGTTATTCACTGTAAATTGATTAAGAAGAAAGCCACTACATAATCCAGAAGGCAATTCACCCGAGAAGCTATTATTTGAAAAACTAACATTAGCCAATTTGGGACTTTTCTTTCCCAAGTCAAGGGGAGGTGGAGGAGGAGGCTTCAGGCTGCGAAGTGGAGGCGAAGCAAGGGAGGAGATGATGAATTTGTTTGAAGAAAGAGGTTTAAATTTTTGGGATTGGTTGGACTGGGGCTGTTGGGTATAATATAGAGGAAATTACACCCACAAAGGTTTTTAAGTTACCATTTTCATAAATCCAAAATCATCTTTAATAATATATAAATCAGGTTTTAACTAATAATTTTTAAATTTATTTTTATTTAAATTAATCATACAAAATTTCAACCCTAATTAATTCATTTCCGCTTCCCCACACTCTCTTTCCCTCCCTCCCTCTCGATCACCCATTTTCTCCCCACTCTATCTCTCTATCCCTGCCGACACCACCCACTGGCACCATCACCACGGCACCACCTCGCCAGCACACCACCGTCTCTCTTCTTCTTTAAATCGTCGGACCACCACGATGATGTCGCGGCTGCAGCGATGGACATTTTATCTATGGGGGCGATGGAAAAGTTGTTGGTGCTGCAGATTGGCCAGAGAAGATGGGCAAGTGGCTGGTGCTGCAGATCGGCGATTGACATTTTTTTTTGAGTGGTGCAGTAGAGTTGTGCGGTGTTGATGTAGGTGTGGCTGCGGGCGATGTGCGTGCGTGCGGCGATGGTCGTGGTGTTGACGGTTTGGGCTGTGTTTTCAGTTGTGGATGGGGGCTGTGGTGATTGTGGTGGTGGTGTTTGGGTAGTGACGATTATGTTTGGTCGTGGTGTTGACGGTTTGGGTTGTTTGTTCAGTTGTGGATGGAGGCTGTGGTTGTGGTGGTGCTTGGGTAGCGACGATTATGTTAGATCTTGTGATGGATCAGGCGGTGACGCAGTGAAGGTGGTGGTAGGACAGTGGTGGTGGTGGTGTTAACGGTTTGGTGTTGTGGTGGTGGTGAAAATGTTGGCTGCAATTTTTGAAATTGTGATTTTGTTGTTGGGAAGTGGTGGTGTTGGTGTTGACGGCGAAGACGACAGTGGTGGTGTGTTGGTGGTGGTCACAAATGATTTGTTGATTGTGACCAATAAATTGGTTGATGTGTACCAATAAATAATAAATTGTGACTTAGAAATAATTTGTGCCCTATAAATTTATTAATTTGTGACCAATAAAAGTAATATGTGACCTATCTCTTAGTCCCCACACTCGCCTCATGCATTAGCCAATCCCTCATCAAACACTTAGCTTCTTACAATAATACTGTCAAATCCCAAAAGAAGCTTTGGAAAGGGTTGTTTTACTGTTTCTGGCACTCCGACAAAGCTTCGAATCAATTAGCTAGGGCTGTTCGTGGGTCGGTTCGTTTTGGTTCTGAGGAGACCCGTCCTGACCAAAAACTTTAGAGTATTTAATAAATGGACCCGTCAGGTCCAAATATAATTATGGAACCGTTCGGGTTCGGTTCCGTTCAGTTTGGTTCGGGTCGGTTCGGTTCTGTACCATAATTAAATTTTTTAATATTTACAGCAACACTACATAAATACAACTAATGACATTTCATTCGTAACTTTTACAAATTAACGTAGCCCGATTCAAAAACATATAAATAACTAGCCGTCCAATAAGATTAATTCAATGCATACAAATACCAAAAAGTNGACATTTTATCTATGGGGGCGATGGAAAAGTTGTTGGTGCTGCAGATTGGCCAGAGAAGATGGGCAAGTGGCTGGTGCTGCAGATCGGCGATTGATATTTTTTTTGAGTGGTGCAGTAGAGTTGTGCGGTGTTGATGTGGGTGTGGTTGCAGGCGATGTACGTGCGTGCATGCGACGATGGTCGTGGTGTTGACGGTTTGGGCTGTGTTTTCAGTTGTGGATGGGGGCTGTGGTGGTGGTGGTGTTTGGGTAGTGACGATTATGTTTGGTCCTGGTATTGATGGTTTGGGTTGTTTGTTCAGTTGTGGATGGAGGCTGTGGTTGTGGTGGTGCTTGGGTAGCGATGATTATGTTAGATCTGGTGATGGATCAGGCGGCGGCAACAGTGAAGGTGGTGGTGGGACGGTGGTGGTGGTGGTGGTGGTGTTGACGGTTTGGTGTAGTGGTGGTGGTGAAAATGTTGGCTATGATTTTTGAAACTGTGATTTTGTTGCTGGGAAGTGGTGGTGTTGGTGTTGGCGACGGAGACGACAGTGGTGGTGTGTTAGTGGTGGTCACAAATGATTTGTTGATTGTGACCAATAAATTGGTTGATGTATACCAATAAATAATAAATTGTGACCTAGAAATAATTTGTGACCAATAAAAGTAATATGTGACCTATCCCTTAGTCCCCACACTCGCCTGCTGCACTGGCCAATCCCTCATCAAACACTTAGCTTCTTGTAATAATTCTATCAGATCCCAAAAGAAGCTTTGGAAAGGGCCGTTTTACTGTTTCTGGCACTCCGACAAAGCTTTGAATCAATTAGCCCTTGTTAATAGACTTACATCCATTTTTTTGATCCTTGAATCCCCGATTTCATTGCAGTGTTTTAGTAGATTTGTTTTGACTCTTCGGCGAGAGTGGCCTGGGATTGATCGCTTGAGCTTAGACAAATTTTACTTGCTCATACGTAGGTTTATAAGGGTTCTGGTTTTGCGAAATGAAGTGAAGGGATGGAAGTTAGGGGTGTTGGGACGGTTTTACTCTTCTGTTTGGAAAATTAAAATCCTTTTTTTTTTTTTCGGATTTAACTGTACATTCTAACGGGAATTGGACGGAATGACGTTTTGTGTAAGAAAATGCAAAGGTAGAGATGTTCTGCACCAAAAAATCAAACGTATGAACGTTTTCCACAAAACCCGTCATAGGTAGGGATGTTTTGCACCAATTACCCTTTTTTTAAAATGAGTTGCATCGAAATATTTGACTTCAAAACACAAAACGTAAAATGAATTCAAAACTCAAAATACAAATATGAAATACAGATATAACGGCACCTATTTTTTTTTTCTCCAAATTACTACTGCAGTAATAAAAACAGCAAATATACACCCTACTCCCCTTAAATCCTTCTTGATCCCTTCTTCTCCCTGGGCTCTGTGCATAAATAAATCTGCATATACGGTGGAATTCATTCATTCAGAAAAATTGGCATTATCTAATTCAGAGTCAGTAAGGTATCGATTTCTTTTCCTTCTCAAAATTTCTTGTAATTTCCCCTTATTTGATTTCCTTGTTGTGGGTTTTGTTTTGTTTTCAACTTATTTTATTGCATCATCTTCATATCAATAAAGATTCGGTAAATTATTTTATTGCATGATCTTTATATCCATAAAGTCTCATTTTTTAGTATCACTTTATGCAAGTATGCATTAGGGTTCAATTAAATTTTCGGTGAAAATTTTGAAAACTTTGGTGCAATTTAGCAGGGGATCCGAAGTGAAAACTACTAATAGAAGAAGAGTGATTGTAAATGGCAAGCACCGCGTGTTTCATGATTGTCAGCAAAAACGATATTCCAATTTACGAAGCTGAAGTCGGCAATGTCCCTAAAGTATGCCTTATTTACGCCTTTGATTTTCAATTTAATTACGTTTTGTTGGACTTTTATTTGGATTCCTTTTTTTTCTTTTAATCACACATTATTGCAGAAAGAGGATGCCGCGCATCAGCACCAGTTTATATTACATGCTGCTTTGGATATTGTCCAAGATCTCGCTTGGACTACTAGTGCTATGTTAGTTTTCAACCTTAGTTTATTGATTGCCGTTTGTTGTACTAGTGCTAATTATTGTTTGCCTCATTTGTGAACCAGGTTTTTGAAAGCAATTGACAGATTCAATGATTTGGTGGTTTCTGTATATGTGACTGCAGGTCATATCCTTTATTTTTTCTTCGTTAATCTAATATATTGCTCTCTTTTTAAAATTTTAGAAGAATAAAACACAAATAATTGACGGAGTGTTTAGCAATGATCTTTTATGTTTCCAGTTCGTATGCAACTACAGTCTGCTACACTCCAAAGTTGATTTTGTTTCGTTCCTTTAATACTTCATTCAGTAGCTTACTTTTTCCATTAACTCAAAAAATCACATAAAGGGGGAGTTAAAAGGAACGTTTTTACCACTGCCCCTCATCGCTGTTTTGATTCCTATGCTGCTTTTAGATTGATGTATGCATCCTTAAATCTATTTTTGGATGACAATAGAGTTTGTCAATGGATTTGGAATCATAAATTTTCAAAGTTGTCAAATGCTATATTGCTAGTTAAGAATGAAGACCTTTCAAATTTAACTTCATCGCTAAGTATTCTGAAATTCTTAGTGGATTCGAGTTAGATCCAAGGGTGAGTTTCCTGTATAGTATTTCCTATTTTGGTATAATCTTGAAGATGTTTCAGCTCTGAGGAAATTTAGTTTTGTTTAAAAATCCACTACTGTGCTCTAGTCCTGAAAGAATTGACTAATTTTGAGATCATTACTGAATTTCTTGTCTGGGACTCTGGGCTGTAAAGTTGAGACTGAAAGACTATTACTCTGATTTACATCCATGCATGAGCTATAGCTGAAGTCCGGATTCTTTGAATACTTTTCCTTCATATAAAACATTTCATAGAATTTGTGCAAAATATTATATCCTATGTGTGTGCTCTGTTCTGTGTTGTAAGTCTTGAAGCAACTTAAATTAATTTATGGTTTCTTTACGAGTTTTTTTTCTTTAACCTATTAATCATACATACACGGCTGATGCTACTTCATGATTCTCGTAATGATGATGGAATCAAGAGCTTCTTCCAAGAGGTCCATGAGCTATATATAAAGGTAATCTTTATTGTGCTTTCCAAAATATATTCCTACCCTATTGAAGTTACTTAGATTGGACTCGTTTGATATCCCCCCTTGGGCTGTGGCCTTGAAGCGTTAGTGCTGAAAACTATACTGGATTGTTCTTTTCTTGGCATTTTAAAATACTTCACTTCAGAGATTCAAGAATTATCTTGAGGAATTCTTATGGTTAAAATTTTTTATGACCCTTCTTGAGGTTGTTCCATAAATGAAAATGCATTTCCACTGCTGGATACAGAACCAGAGTTTTCCACTATTAGGCTTTATATTGGACGCTTTTCTCTTCCCATATTTGCCCTTTACTCGATATTTAATGTCACATTTAGCCTGTTAATCTACTTTCAAGATGAGTAACGCCTCCTGTGTGTTATTTATCCTCCTGTGTTAATTTTTAGGCACTTGCCTACTTCATCTCCACAACTCTCTTGAAACCACCCCCATAACCTTCCATATTTTCTCCACTAAATGGAACTTTTAGAAATAAACTCTTCCTTGTATCACAATGCATGAGATTGGCTACGTTAAGAGAACGCCATTGGACAATTCAGAACTGGATGAACACTTAAATCATTTTGCGTGAATCACAAAATTGTTGTCTTTCATGTCTGGGATGTTCTAGATTTGTAACTGTAACTGCGGATTTCTTCTCTGTTGTTATCCTTTTTGTACAAAACGATAATTGAATTTATTCGATGCTCCACCTGCTAACTAAAGGGCATTGCAGCTGAGTTTGAAATAGGCTTATATATTGTTTTAAAGGAAACTGATGAGTTAAAAAAGGCAGGAGCAGTCCAAATTGCTTGGTTGATCCATCAGAAAGAGAGTTCTACCAAATATAGAAGAGTTTTTTACTCAGATTATTTGTAGTTGATAATGGTCTATGCCCGAGTGAGGGTGTGTGTAGTGAGAGAGTTAGAGAGGAGGAATGTAAATAGGAGTTTATGAACAGAGTAGGTGTTTCAGCTCTTCTTATTCTCAGCTCGGTATTATTTAGTTTACTGCTGCAGGATAGAGAAGCTATGTATTAAACCTTTGATGAGAGGGAACAAAGTAGGCAGACTGAGCTGGCAAAAGAAGCATCACATGAGGAATAACATTGTGTTCGGGTGCGGGTGCGGGTGCGGGTGGGGGTGGGGCGAGAGAGAGAGAGTACGTCTGTGTGTTTTGCTGACTATAAACGTTAAACCATAATTATCATGATTTTTGCCATTGAAAATGTTATGATGCATCGACACAGACACGTGTCAGATACGTCGACACGCGATTTTTAAAAAAAGTACAAACACGACATGTCATCGATACGCTGATTAAATTCTTAAAAATTCTTCATTTATATACTATAAATTTAGTATTATACTTGTTTTTAATTTTTCTTGTTGAAATCTTTTAAATATGAGTACATATTTATTACTTGCTAATAATTTTGNTCTTTTAAACATGAGTACCTATTTGTTACTTGCTAATAACTTTGAATTAACAATATATAATATTGTTAATATAAAAAGAAAAATGATTATGGTAGAGTGTCCGAGAAGTGTCGGTATCGACTCGTGTCGGACACGGACACGAACACGAACACGACACAACTACCCTAATTAAAGTGTCTGTGCTACAGAGTGAAAATGTGATCTAGATTAAAGGCAATATCATTTGCAATCATGTCACATCTGTTCATAAGTGTAATTCAAAAGTTCATTTGACAGAATAGGATTATTCCACTTTAAATGGTTGGGATACCACGTGAACGTTTCTATTGTGTTTGGGAGATTTTCCTCTTTTTTCTTTGGTGGTAAGTTTGCATCTTTCCTTCTCCACCTTGCCCACCAGTCACTTCTTTAAACTCATCCCCCACATCTTTCTTTTTATCTTTAATGAAAGATACTAGAGAATATATACAAGGAAGAGCATGTGAAAAAAGGGCAGATTGCTTACATGGTTGGAGATAAGTTGGAAGCATAATCAGATCAGCAATCACTTGCAATTGAATGACTGCAACCTAATCAACTAGGCGATCCACAATGTTAACACGGGTTTGGGTATTAATAAATCCTGACTCAAGAAAGTGCACTAGTTAGTGATTTGAATGTGCGATCAACTGAAGAACAACCTTCCTGATGGATTGGATTTGATCATATACTAAGGAAATTTTACAAATTCTTGAAAATTTGTCTATAGTTATTTGAAATGACTTGATATATCTATTAAGCGCTGTCATGGATTTGGTTTAGAAATGGAAGAAAATAGACATTTTAATGGTGTACTCATGCGGAATTATAGAATTGGAGTTTTATTTTTCACAGAGAGACTCTTCTATTAAGACTTACAACATTTACAATCCTATCCTTGATTCCTCTTCACTTCTTTATCCTCCTCCGCAAAAATTAAAAATTATCACTGCAGATAATTATGTAGTTTACTGTAGGATTTTTATATATTTTTTGAGGGCATGAAGTTCCTGCAGTTTCTTTTGAGATGGTTTATTGGTTTGAAATTTATTATCAAAATTTGATTGCAGACTCTTCTCAATCCCCTTTATCTACCTGGAAGTCGCATTACATCATCGCATTTTGACACAAAAGTTCGAGCTCTTGCCAGAAAATATTTGTGAAGCAATCATTTGATTTGCTAGTGTCTGGAGCTTGCCATTATTTTTCTGCCAGGTGTGCTATGTTACAATGTTAATTGGCTGTCAGTGTTGCTATGTTATCAGAACGTTTTGTTTCAGCACAAGTACACTTTTCATGCATGTCAAGAGGGGTTTATCTATTTATGATATATATTATTGACTAATTGTAGCTTAGATCTTTTGGAGCTTCGTTTAGTTACAACTGGGTTTAAAACTTTTAGAAATTGGTTTTGAAGAAAATGGTTGAAGTTCCTAGGGTCATAAATAGCTTATAGGATGAATCATTTCTCGTTTTCTCAATAGTTCTGAATTGCCTCTGATCATTATGTGTCATGGATGATGTGCATTAGAAAAAAATTCAAGTCTAATGTCTCATATCTGGTTGTAGTTTGCCACCTATATTTTTTATTTCAACTTTTTTTTTCTAATAATCTATAAGACCAGACATTCATATGTACTTCGCCTTGTCCTTGAATGAGGACCATATAGTTGGTGTGGCCGTTGCAGCAAGGAAATTATTGAATAAAGGCATTGCAGACCGAGTTTAAGGTAGACAAACTCTTTTTGTAGTACGAGATCGTCTCTTTCAACTTTATTGTTAATCTTGGAGATTATTAATGTAATGATCCGAACTTTTTCAAGATGGACAACATGAGAAACATGTTGGTAGCCATGAGCTAGTCATTAGGTCCACTTGTCTAGTTGAGCTAGAATCCGTGATTATGGTATATGGTACACACACTGAAGGTGGTCTTAGTTAAAAATCTTTTCATATCATTCAATTTACACCTTTGTCAATTGGTTGCCCATGACACATCCAACGTCTTGTCTAACTTTGTTGACTTGTTGCCGTTGTGTTTGTTTTACTTTTTCAGTGTGAAAAGATTCTACCGAAATTACATAGATTGTGTGTTAGAAACCATATACGGTTGTGTAATGAAGGTAATGTGATTCAAAGACTTCGTGTGTATGTTTGTTACTTCTTACTAATGGAAGAATGAAAAGCAAAAGATTTGAACTTTTTTTTCCCTAATACATTGCTATTATGTTTACTCTATGAAATATGTTGGCCTCCGAACTCGCAAATCAGCTTGGACCCACCTAAATTTTAGATAGAGAACTTATGAAGATATGTTGGTCGATTTAGAGGACATATTAGCGAGTCACCAAGTTAGCTCTGCCTAAAAGTCGTCAACCATCAATTGGTCAGGCATTGAGTTTACTCCCCAATATACAGTAGAGTGTCCGAGAAGTGTCGGTATCGACTCGTGTCGGACAAGGACACACTACCCTAATTAAACTGTCTGTGCTACAGAGTGAAAATTTGGTCAAGATTAAAGGCAATATCATTTGCAATCATGTCACATCTGTTCATAAGTGTAATTCAAAAGTTCATTGGACAGAATAGGATTATTCCACTTTAAATGGTTGGGATACCACTTGAACGTTTCTATTGTGTTTGGGAGATTTTCCTCTTTTTTCCTTGGTGGTAAGTTTGCATCTTTCCTTCTCCACCTTGCCCACCAGTCACTTCTTTAAACTCATCCCCCACATCTTTCTTTTTTTCTTTAATGAAAGATACTAGAGAATATATACAAGGAAGAGCATGTGAAAAAAGGGCAGATTGCTTACATGGTTGGAGATAAGTTGGAAGCATAGTCAGATCAGCAATCACTTGCAATTGAATGACTGCAACCTAATCAACTTGGCGATCCACAATGTTAACACGGGTTTGGGTATTAATAAATCCTGACTCAAGAAAGTGCACTGGTTAGTGATTTGAATGTGCGATCAACTAAAGAACAACCTTCCCGATGGATTGGATTTGATCATATACTAAGGAAATTTTACAAATTCTTGAAAATTTGTCTATAGGTATTTGAAATGACTTGATATATCTATTAAGCGCTGTCATGGATTTGGTTTAGAAATGGAAGAAAATAGACATTTTAATGGTGTACTCATGCGGAATTATAGAATTGGAGTTTTATTTTTCACACAGAGACTCTTCTATTAAGACTTGCACCATTTACAATCCTATCCTTGATTCCTCTTCACTTCTTTATCCTCCTCCGCAAAAATTAAAAACTATCACTGCAGATAATTGTGTAGTTTACTGTAGGATTTTTATATATTTTTTGAGGGCATGAAGTTCCTGCAGTTTCTTTTGAGATGGTTTATTGGATTGAAATTTATTATCAAAATTTGATTGCAGACTCTTCTCAATCCCCTTTATCTACCTGGAAGTCGCATTACATCATCGCATTTTGACACAAAAGTTCGAGCACTTGCCAGAAAATATTTGTGAAGCAATCATTTGATTTGCTAGTGTCTGGAGCTTGCCATTATTTTTCTGCCAGGTGTGCTATGTTACAATGTTAATTGGCTGTCAGTGTTGCTATGTTATCGGAACGTTTTGTTTCAGCACAAAGTACACGTTTCATGCATGTCAAGAGGGGTTTATCTATTTTTGATATATTTTATTGACTAATTGTAGCTTAGATCTTTTGGAGCTTCGTTTAGTTATTGTCCTTCTTTTTAACCTCTTTAATCTCATTTCAAGAATACTTGTTCAAAAGCTTTACTGCTGTTCATTCTTTTATTGTTATCTAGCAACATGCATATAGAACAATTCTTTTTTATGTGCACTTCCAATTCCTACGAGATCTGGTTGAACTGCATACCACCTCGGTCAACTGGGTTTAAAACTTTTAGAAATTGGTTTTGAAGAAAATGGTTGAAGTTCCTAGGGTCATAAATAGCTTATAGGATGAATCATTTCTCGTTTTCTCAATAGTTCTGAATTGCCTCTGATCATTATATGTCATGGATGATGTGCATTAGAAAAAAATTCAAGTCTAATGTCTCATGTCTGGTTGTAGTTTGCCAACTATATTTTTTATTTCAACTTTTTTTTCTAATAATCTATAAGACCAGACATTCATATGTACTTCGCCTTGTCCTTGAATGAGGACCATATAGTTGGTGTGGCCGTTGCAGCAAGGAAATTATTGAATAAAGGCATTGCACACCGAGTTTAAGGTAGACAAACTATTTTTGTAGTACGAGATCGTCTCTTTCAACTTTATTGTTAATCTTGGAGATTATTAATGTAATGATCCGAACTTTTTCAAGATGGACAACATGAGAAACATGTTGGTAGCCATGAGTTAGTCATTAGGTCCACTTGTCTAGTTGAGCTAGAATCCGTGATTATGGTATATAACACACTGGAGGTGGTCTTAGTTAAAAATCTTTTCATATCATTCAACTTACACCTTTGTCAATTGGTTGCCCATGACACATCCAACGTCTTGTCTAACTTTGTTGACTTGTTGCCGTTGTGTTTGTTTTACCTTTTCAGGGTGAAAAGATTCTACCAGAATTACATAGATCGTGTGTTGGAAACCATATACGGTTGTGTTTGTTTTACCTTTTCAGTGTGAAAAGATTCTACCAGAATTACATAGATTGTGTGTTGGAAACCATATACGGTTGTGTAATGAAGGTAATGTGATTCAAAGACTTCGTGTGTATGTTTTTACTTCTTACTAATGGAAGAATGAAAAGCAAAAGATTTGAACTTTTTTTTCCCTAATACATTGCTATTATGTTTACTCTACGAAATATGTTGGCCTCCGAACTTGCAAATCAGCTTGGACCCACCCAAATTTTAGATAGAGAACTTATGAAGATATGGCGGTCGATTTAGAGGACATATTAGCGAGTCACAAAGTTAGCTCTGCCTAAAAGTCGTCAACCAAAAAAGGTCATCATTACAATCTCGAGGATGTCTCCTAAGTGATGTCATTCACCTAGACCGCTCCTAAAGTGACAAGTGACAACCCTTTAGGAATTAGCCATGCTTGCCTAGATGATAGATCATCATGACCTAGGTCACAACTATGACCTAAGCACCATTACGACCTGTTTGGTCAACCTCACCGACCAATTAAAATAGGGTGGTGGCATATACTTAAAGGTCGATATTGTAGATGCTAGGTTGGATGGTCAATTTGCTTATTGTAGATGCCTATAAATAGGACAAATAGTCCTCTCCAAGGGATCGAACTCGATGTGCTCTTCTTATACAGTCTAAATTTCAGTCAATGCAATTAACCTTTTATTTTTATTCTACTAATTACCCTACTAAAATTATGTTAAGTTGATCTATTGACCACATCATTTGTAGTCATCAACAAAAATGTGTCGAATTTATTCAAAAATTGTGCGTAATGAAAGGGCTATAGAAACAGGTGGCTCCTACTTTCAATGCAAGGACGCACGCTGTTAAGGAGAGACTTTGAGTTTCAACTATGTAGCTTTTGCCATAGGACCACGAGGAAAATGAGAAAAAAGTGCTGTACTAACCGGAGTGATTATTAATAAACCGGAAATGTTGAATTAATGTGGGGAGTCAATGGATTAGTTTGTGTTTTGGTAATCCAGGAAATGGGTTAGTTCAGTGACCTAACCACCTACATAATTACAAAATTAGACGGCAAAGTCTCTCTCTCTCTCTCTCTCTCACACACACAAGGGGATGAAGGATCCCTGATTTTGTTCATAACCTCTATTTCAGTGCCCCCATTCTCTCTCACAGGAGATAAAAATTTAAGTGGGGCGAGCAATTTTATATACATAAGCAATAAAACTCGTTTACTTAAATCACGACATCTTGAATGAAAATTGAACCACCAAGTTACAATAGAGTTCATTCCTTCATCCTCAAACTCCAAACTACTGAAGTCGTTCATTTCCTAATCCCTCCATTTCAGTGCCCCCATTCTCTCTCACGAGAGAGAAAAGCTTAAGTGGGGCAACCTTATATACACGTGTTAGAATTCGTTTACTCAGATTACTACAATTGGGTTATGAACAGAGTCTCGTCGATCTTGTATACACACGTTATAGGACTCATCCATTCATATTTCGACACCTCACACTCCAAATCACTAAAAGATCCCCATTTTCTATCATTCCCTAATCCCTCTATTTCAGTGCCTCTCTCTCACACATGAAAAATTCTCTCAAGTTTGTTCGTGCCCTGTATTTCTATTTAGGTGAAATCCACACCAATTTTGTGGCTATTACTGCAAGAAACAGGAAAAACAGCTAAAATTGGTTTTGTATATCAAAAACTTAAAATCTGTAACAATTTCCAGGATAAAAACATTATGCACATATATATATATATTTAACCCAAACTGATTATAAATTCATAGATCTATCCCTAAACCCTATATATGAAAGACAACGTAGAGAGGGGAAAAAAAAGATAAATAACAAGAACAGCATGGAAATATGACAATTTGATCACTGGGAAACACCATCTTTTACATAAATTTTACATCTTACGCTTGCCGGACTTGGGTGGCCGGCGGCGGTTCTTGTCATTTTTCGCGAAAGCGCTGCAACACCCACAAGCCGAAACCTTGGGAGACGGCGGCTCTATCGCCGGAGACACTCTTCCGGTACGGTATCCCCTTCCTCCGCCGTTGGATCGGCTTCTTTCGATCGTCAATCCGGCGGTTCTGGATGAATTCCTAGGTGGTGGTGCTTCTGCTGCTGGTTCTTCTTTAACTTCTTGTTCTTGTTGAGCTTTATTTTCAGTTTCATCTTTTTGATTAGCCATTCGAGCCAATTCATTCAAGAATTTGTCTTCCCATACTAATCCCGAGGATCCCTGTCGCCTGAATGATACTGCAGATCTCTGTAATCCAGCCATTCAAGATTTGTGCACACCCAAATCTCCCTCTCTCTCTCTCTCCCTCTAAATGTTTAATGCCTCTTTAGACTTTTCTTACTATGGGTAGTGTGTAGTTGTATCTAATGGGTTGTTTTGTATGTATGTGGAGGGGGGTGGGGTGAAAGATAAGAGATCACAACGAAATTAAAGGCTGGCAATAGAAGTGGTCACAAGGAGGCAACTTAGTCAATGCTTTCGGCTAATTTTGTTACAAAATTATTTAATATTTTAATCAATGATGGTAGACGATAATAAAACAACCATAATGCACAAGTGATAAAGACCGTTTCAATTAAATTACGATATTTTAAATAATTCAAATTACGAAACTTCAACGTAAATATGTTCAATTACCGTTATGTTTCTATCTCTTACCATCTTGAATGCCAAGATATCGTGGTCATGATTTGTGAGATTTAAGCTCAGAGGTATCGTAATTTGAGCAGTAGTCCTACCATATGTGAATATACGACCATCCATTAAATATTTTCTCTGATCATCAATGATAAAGTTTCATTCATTTAATCGTTGAAGTTAACATTGAAAAGATAATTAAGTCATTATTATTTAATTTATCGCTAATTTACGCTATTAGAGGAGCATGTTGTTTAATTGTTAAACTAATGGAAGGTTTTAGATTGGGATTAAAGATGCATAGAAACTAATAAGTTTGGGACAATGTTGCAAAGAAAAATATGTTGGAGATTAAGTTACTATAAAGTCGTGTTTGGTGCATTTTAAAATGAAAGAATGTATTTTTTTGAAGTAATGTGATGAGGAATAAGTAGTTGAAGAAAAATGAAAAATTATTGATGTGATAGAAAATATTATTTTATTGGAAAATGCGTGATTGAAAATGAGTAGAAGAATTAGAATGAAAAAAATAATATGACTCAAATAGGGGCTATATAGGTTGGGGTCCAAAGCCACAAATTTCCCCTAATATTTTCATTTCTTTTTGAAAAAGTTCCATGGCTGCTTTTATCAATATCAAAGAAGGACGTTACGTTCAAACTTCAAACTCTGTCAATTTCGGTTAGAAAAAAAAAAAAAAAGTTGCAAGATAATCAAATAAAATAAAATATTTAATTTCTAGATTATTATTGTAAGTTTTGTTATAATGATGCTCAAATGTGAAAGAAAATAAATTATTATCTATATGTCGATTTGTAATATTAAAGGACTTTGCTTGACGTACATAATTATTGTACATAGGGGTGTTCAAAACTCTCACATGGGGTGAAACTCATATTTTTGTGGATCCCATCCCATGTGAGAGTTACGTACACTCTTATGTACAATAATTATGATTGTCATAATCATAATTATGATTTCTTTTTCTGAATCATAATCAGTTTCTAAAAGGTGTTTTAGAATATTTTGGTTCTTCATTATCCGATTCTGATTTAGGATATTTGATTCTTCATTATCTGATTTGATTGTCATAATCGTCTCATTATTTCCAATGTTGACATTCTTAACAATATTTACAATTGTTTGTAATTCATTGTCTTCAAATGCAAGTAGAACATTTAAGAGTACTAGATCATTACTAGTCTCATAAATATTTTCAAGATTATTTCTAAAGTTAGCCATATCAACTTTTTAAGTTGACAAGAGGTTCAACCTGTGTCCAATTGGTATAAAAACCTTTTGGAGGTCCAACCGATCACTAAACAATTTTGGGTAACATCTGGAAGAACTCTAAGTCTCAAAATTGCAGTAAAACCTTATGTACAATAATTATGTACACTTAGCATTTTTCAATATTAAATGACAAAATATTATTTATCATTTTAATAAAAAAAGGTGATAGATAAACAACACAAATATTATTTTTTCATTGAAATTTCATCATTTATTATGTGTTATGATGGTAATATTGTCAACGTAAAAATAGAGAGAGAGAGAGAGAGAGAGTCTTGGATTGACGGTAACGAATTCGAGAACTCAAAGTTAGAGGTGTCAAGACGGACGGGCCGGTCATGACCCGTGAAAACCGGCCCGTGAAAATCGGGACCACGGGCCGACCCGTGACCCGTGCGGGCGGTTCACGGGCCAAGGAGGTGTAACCCGCGGGCTTCGCGAGTTGCACCCCCACGGGCCGCGGTTAACCCGCGGCCCG